TTTGCCCTGGCTCTCACACATGTGCTCATAATCATAATTTACATAATCCACACATTACATTGGAGTCCTGGTTCGGCGCTGTGGGTTAATGAGCCAGACTGCAAAGCCGTTTGAACTAACTGCAAGGTCAGCAGTTCAAGCTCACCAGCTGCTCCTCAGAAACCCTATACAGGGTCTCTATGGGTTGGAATTGACTTGAAGGCACCTAACAACATTAACAACAACACACATTACATCGCTTATTTGTTTCATAAATACATAAGCTATTTTCTATGTGACTTTAAACTGTACATTTGCAAGTGCTCTTGTGTCTTCTCAGCATATCGTACAGCTTCTGTATGCCGATCCTGTGCTTCTTCCAACTAAAGCAAAGAAAAGAAATTACATTAGTACAAATCAACTCATCACATATTTTGTAAATGTAATTTTACTGGAACAAAATCATGCTCATTCATTTGCATAATGCTTATTGCTACTTTCATGCTCTAAAGCAGAGTTAATAAGTTGTGAAAGGCTAGAAGTTTTGTAACATAAAGTGGGGAGTAGTTCATCTTATAGTCCAGAAACAGAGAACCTAAGAACATCAAGGGAGAAGAGCACAAGCAGAATGTGGAACCCTATCCAGAGAAGCAGCAACACTGGAGACTGAGGCAGAGATGAGGGTATGGAGAGATAGAGCAGCTGATGACTCTAGACTCACAGAAAGAGAGAGACAGAGCTGGCAGCCAGGAGGCAGGCTTGCAGAGAGTGCCCTTTGGTTGTTTAAATGATAATATACTCCTGAGTGTTTTTGTGTACATAAAACAACAACAACAACAAAAAAAAAAAACAGATGGACTAGAAGCAAATATTGTTGAATGATGATGCACGGAGGAGATTGTAATCATTGCAATGAAAAAGTAAGTGTAAAATCACATGTTCTCCCATGGAAACTATAAAACTATCACTCAATTCACAATAAAAACATTTTTAAAAAGTTGTAAAAGAGACTTGTTGCTGTTGTTGTTAAGTTTCACTGAGTCAGTTCCAACTCATAGCAAGCCTATATGTGGTTTCAGTGGAACAGTTGGTGGATTTAAACTATCAACCTTGATTTGCAGTCCAATGCTATTCCTACAGCATTACACCAGACATCCAAAAGGGTAAACCTTAGGCCTTGCAAAGTCTAAAATAATTATCTAGTTCTTTGCAAAAAAGTTCACTGATCCCAGCTCTAGTCCTAAAATGCAACATTATTCTTGCTTTCAAATAATTTTTATCAGATGTATACTCAAATTTATGTTGTTGTTGTTAAGTGCCGTTGAGTTGGTACTGACTCATAGCAACTCTATATAGGGTTTCTGAGGAGCAGCAGATGGGTTTGAAGGGCTGACCCTGGGGTTTGCAGTCCAGTGCTGATCCTACTGGTGAAATTGGGAGATAAGAAATTGCCTTATATTGTTTGCTGTAACCAAAGCACCATCACATGAAAAATTATTTTAAATTTTCACATATGTGAATGAACCAAGATTATGTCAGTGATTAAGTTCCCAGTACTTTAAAGACCTTTTACCAACTTCATTAGTTCACAGTACTTTCTTCCTTTTATAATTTATAACTTGAAGTCCTAGTGTGGCGCTGTAGGATAAGCATTCGACCACAAGGTCAGTTTGAACTGCAAGGTTAGTGGTTCTAATCTAAAAATATGAGTCTATTGCTAACTCTGTTGCTTTAGCTAAGTGCCATCAAGTTGGTTCTGACTAACAGAGACCCTACATAGGGTTTCCAATATTTAGGGTCGTGAATGGAATCATTTACAGCAAGTGTTTATGTTGGGTAAGTACACTGATCAAATTTATATGCTATTGCATAGCAGAAAAGCCAGTTACCAGAGCTTTACAGTTCAAACCCACTAGGTCACCATGAGTCAGAACCAACTTAACAACAGAGCTTTACAGCTGGTAAAGTGTTGTAAATCTGCAAGTCCCAGTTCTGGCTACATAACGAAGACAAGCAAATTTAGATATCTTTTTTAACAGTAAGAAAATGCAATGACCATTTAATTGAACAAGTCTCCTCCATTAGATTAAATTGTATATTTAATTGCATAATAAAAGTTTAAAATAAAACCTTAATTATCCTAACAGCTGTTAAGCTAAAATATTTTCAATTGATACAACTACAGGCATCATGCATATTCATTCCCTCCTTAAACAAACTTATCATTAAGATTACCCTCTCATGGAAAAAATAAAATGAAAAGAATATAAAATTAAGAGCCAAATTGTTATGCAAAGACTTGGTGGCAAGTGCTGAAAAGAGTAAGGTCAATGAAAGAACAGAAAAGCCTTCATGGACAAAGTAAAATTGTGAACTACACGTAAATAAAAGTAGGATTAAACCAGAGGGAAAGGCAGGACCACAGAGATGGTAAAATAAGTCCAAACGATTTAGGATAAAATGCAATAGGCAAGAAAACATGTCCATACAAAACTTATAAATGTATGTTCATAGCAGCTTTACTCCTAACAGGCAAAAATATAAATGCCCATCAACTGAAGAAGAATGCAAACACAAAAATGGTATGTCCATAAAATATTATTCAGTAGTAGAAAGAAATGAAGTATTCACACATGCTACATTGATATGATGTACCTTGAAAACCATGTACCAAGTGAAAGAAGACAGAAACAATAGGCCACCATATGATTTCATTTATATGAAACATCCAGAATCGATGATACCCTAGGGAGCTGGGGAGACTTGGGGTGACAGCTAAGGGATGTGGAGTTTCCTTTGGGGATGATGAACATATTCTACAATTGACTGCAATGATGGTTGTATAAATCTGTGATATAATACAAGCCACTTTAAATGAGTGAACTATACACTATGTGAATTTTATCTCAATTAAGTTGTCCTAAAAACCCGATGTTGAGATCCACGTAAATTTCTTGTTTCTCTATTTTGGGTGCACATACTACACATAATTTGAGTATTTCTATGCTTTTACAATGGCTCTATAGGATAAGCACTGGACTGTGAACCATGAGCCCACCAGC